AGATTGTGTGACAGGAAGGATATTATAGATAAGTTTGAATGGCGGTGCAAGAAATCTGGTGTAGATAGACATTTTGTGAAACGGAGTGTAAGGAAGGACACGTGGTTTACTGAAAGTAGTTTGAGTATGGGTGAAATTTTATTAATTTCTTATTACTGGTTGAATAGACTGCCAGTTGACTACTGGATTTCGGATTTAGAAATTAGCAGTAGTACTGCAGCCGATTGGAACTCTTTCTGTAGGGAAGTGTGCGTGCCACGTAATGAAGATTCTGAAGAAGATTAGGTAAGTTAGTATTTTTAATCATTTGAGGATATTATTTTTATGCATTGTTCTAAATGTAAGGAGTAAATAAATTAAAATGGTATTATTTGAAAATTGCTATTAGAAATGATTTAGTTTAAAGTAATTAGGATTGTAATCTAATTTTTATTAATTTAATGTATGTGCTTATTTATATTTTAAGTAGTGTTTTTTAATTTAATTATATTTTTAATTTAATGATCGTGATTTTGTGAGTTTATGTTTGTAGTATTTTGGAATATGTTTGAGTAGTATACGTTGAGTATTTTCATTCATGCATTTTCGTAAATTTTTCTAATTTATGAGAAAAAAGCAGTGTACATGGATATAGTGAAGAGTGTGCACACTGCCATTTTTGTGCAAATCTGGGATGTTTTTTTAAGTAAAAATAAGTCGACGTGTACATGGTTTAGTTATATTTTAATTAAATGATAGTTATTTTGTGAATTTTATGTTTTGTAGCAATTTGGTATAACGTTTCAGTTGAAGTAAACGTGCATGGAATAATTTAAAATATTTGACACTAAGTATTTTGTAACCATTTTTAATGTTGCGGTATAAATTCGTTGGTGACGTTTATAATATAATACATAATTTAGAGGTAAAAGTTTTTGGATATTTTATTTATTTTATATACGTGGAAATGTTCATCCTTGGAAGGGTATGTACTTTTTTTGTGATCAGGTAATTTCATATATGTTCTTTTTACCGAGTTTAAAGATTCACAAAATTTTCCTGCATTTTTCGTGCAAAATTTTTGTAATTATGAGAAAATAGCAGTGTAGATAGATAAAGTTAAGAGTGTGTGCAATGCCATTTTTGTGCAATTCTGGGATTTTTTTAAAGTAAAAATAAGTCGACATGTAAATGGTTTATGTGTATGTACTATTTCTGAAAAAACGCGCAAGGAGTTTTTGCGATTGTGCACTTTTTCCCCAATTTTTGCAGTTAATATTTGTCATGATTAAGCAGTTTTGTTACATAAAATTTCTAGCATAAGTGCAATTTGGCTAGTAGATTGTTGGAAAAAGTGTTCAGTAAATAAAAAGAAAAGAAACATGTCTTTACTTCGTGAATACAAAATGGCGGCGAAAAAAAAATAGAGGGTTGCTGTAGCAGAGTTGGTCGCCAAATTTTCGCCAAGTTACCATAATCCAAAGATCAACATACATCTCTTTTTTTTTTTTATCACACGTACACACTTTTTTTAAATCACACCTATATTTTTTACAGCCTTCGAAACCGAATAGTACCATCATTTGTAGTCATAAAATTTTATTTATAGGATATACATATCCTATAAATAAAATTTTATACATATCCTATAAATAAAATTTTATGGCTACAAATGACGGTACTATTCGGTTTCGAAGGCCGTAAAAAAATTGCAGCGAAAACGTATGCGCAAAAGCGCCAAATCTAGCAAACGAGCCCATTTAACAGCGCGCCAAATCTAGCGTATGCGCCGATTTCAGATTGCGCAAGTTGATATAGTTCTATATTTCTTAAGACGCCACTGAAATACTAGTTTAATTTTTAAATCCTTTTTCGATATCCTATGGATTTAACTATTTGGGAATTGCCCATGACGAAAACTCGGCAATAGAATTTTGGGTAACGTGCAGAATCACTCACTGCTTGACCCGTTTTTAAAAATTGCACATACGACCTATTTTCACTTAAAAAAAAATCCTAGAATATCACAAAAATGGCACTGCACACACACACCTTTGACTTTATCTATGTACACATCAACCTATTTTCACTTAAAAAGTAAAAGAAAATTGACAAAACTTCAATTGTTTTTACCCTTGTAAAAAGCTGCAAACAAATAAGTGAGCGATTCTGCACTTTACCAAGAATATTTTCAAAGAAAAGTTATCATTCATTATAGAACATTACGTTTGAACAACCAACAAGATGAAATTATTCTTTAGTGATAAGTCGGTAGCGAAATAGCGATGCAGGCATCCATTCATTATGTTTAGCAATTTTTATATAAATTATAATAATGATCTGAAATAGTTATTTACTCTTATTCTTCCATTCAGTCATGTTTAGCCTTTTTCATATAAATTATAATAATAAAAAAGTATTATATGAAATTAACTTTTCATCTAAATTAAAACATCAATCTTAAATAGTTATTTACTATTATACTTCCTTTCTTGCAGCAATTATTTTTGGCAGCATTGGCATCAACAATAGTTTGGAGACTTTTTACGACCCTCGAAACCGAATAGTACCTAAATGACTTGTCTAGTGCTGCTACTACAGTCAAAAGTCTTTAATCTGGACTCGTCGGGACTTCGGCGATTCCGGATTATCGATCATCAGTTTAAATCTGGTAAGATGGCATGCAGAAATTATAAAATTAAAAATATGAAACCGTAATTTATAAAATAATGAGCAATTATGATCTAAAGAGTATCAAAATTTACAAAAATAGAAGCTTAATATTTGTTTACTTTATTAAACATTTCTTTCAACGCGCGCATGCGTAAAGCATACCTTACGCATAGCCGAAATTAGAAAATCACAACCAGAAAACTATCTTATTTATATTCATGATGACGAGGAATTTGATTTAAATCATATCAAAGACGGAGTACATCGAGATTAAATACTACTTTTAGTAAGGAATTATAAGCCGAATAAAATAAAAACATCTGCCCTGAAGATAACGATAGTGCTGACAGATTAACTTCCAGTTCATTGTGCGCCGTGACGTCCCCCCCCCACGCAGAGCAGCGTGAAATTGATAAACAGATTTCGGAACGGTTAGATAAACAAAGGATATGCCTTTATTCATTTTTTGTAGCAATTCGTTTTTTTGTTTGATGGACATCGAAACATACTTTCGTTTTCTAGATCCTTTGGGAGCTCCAGCATCGGAAAGTCTATTTGACATAATCGAAAGTTCAAGCTTACTTTTATAAAATTGCTCTTACAGTCTGCAAAAAATAATAAGCTGGATCCATTTCGAAGATTAAGGAACAACGCAATCATCAACATTAACTGAAATAGATAATTTTAGCTTATACTGTCTGTTATACATTAAACGCGCACGTGAAAACATATTCTGCGCTTGCGCAGACGCAGTCGTAAAAGTCTTCCACGCACGCGTAAACGCCTATGCGCATGCGCAGAAAGATTTTAGCTTTGAGGTCTGGATTATAGATCATTCCGGATTATGGGTGTTCGAATTAACGACTTTTGACTGTACTACACAACTTCCATACCAATGTTTAGGGTACTTGAAGGATTCTTCAAGTTTAACCAGCCAAAAGTGACTACCAGTTATATTCTAGAAAATTCAAAGATATCGAGCTCTAATGAGTCATTTAACACTTATCTATAACAGAGCAGGTGAAATGTCATATAAAAGAACCATTAAATAACGAAGACTGATGATTTTTTGAATGGAGTTCAAATTTTAAGACCTCTGACACGTTCAGTATCTAGCCCACAGACTTCCCAAATATTATTTTTGACTATAATAAAGTGTTACCCTGTAAATGATAAATGCTTTCACTGATCTACCAATACTTTCAGCGGAATCCTTTAGGAACAACTTAAGTTAATGAATCTTACGTTCTATAGCCATTACAATTATTGCATAAGAAATCCTTCACATCTTTGACAACACTTCCAACAATCTAGAGACAACAAATAAACAATTTATTGAAACCCAGAGCTGCAAATTGTCCGTCATACAGAAAAAATTATAACTTTTTCCGATGTGTGTTCTCCTGATATAACTAACGGCATACTCAGCTAGCTATTGAAAAATCCATGGTTTGAAATCCCAGGAAGAGCAATTAGAAAATCACAATAGCCTTTACAGCAATACCCAATTAAAGCATGGTAGACGATAATTCATCACCATTCTTCCCCTTCAACCACCCTTTATGCAATTATTGCCTTCCCTATACATGCTCATGTGACACAATAGCATGTCCAGTTAGCAGTCAGAAGATACATAATTTGAATCCCGGTTCATAGCCGATTTTTCATGTTTCTTACTTCAAAAACTAAATACCTCAACAAAGTGTTTGAAAATTGTTTACATAAAAAAGTGAAGATTGATAATTGCAAAAATTTATTTATTATCAGCATGCCCTTTCACATTTTAATTAGGTATATATGCTGAAAATCAATTAGTAAACATATTTACCAGAAGATTTCTGTTTCTTTCATAATAGCAGCAATTTCGTGACAATCGCTTTAAGAATATATTAAAAGATATTGTTTTGTAGGACAATTTTATGGCAAAATACCAAAATTTCTCATAGAAATTTTTACAGCAGTTTCTTCCATTGCAAGCAAATCTCACAAGTGTATATTTTAAAAGAGTTTAGAGCAAAAACACCATAATTTGTTTATAAAAACTACTGGAACTAACAAAAGGAACATATACAATAATGATGACACTGTATGTTTAAACTGTCAAACTGTTATGTGCATAGTTGAAAGTTTAGCAACTTCTGCTACGGTGATTGTGTATTATGCGTTTTACATTAAAAAAAATCAAATGCAATCAACTCATATTCGCATATTATGTGTTTTACTAAAGTATACTGTACCACAGGCAAGCAGGCTCAATACTGGGCATTTCACATTTTCAAAGGGTAAGCTAGATTTACAGCATTCATACAAATAATAAGATTATTAATATATATCTAGGCTTTACATACAGTCATCTCCAACTGGACCAGCAGAACACTGCGCTGGAGGGTCCCGCCCAAGATCTTGTAATTCCTGTGAAAGAAAAACAAATGGTTAATTTCATATTTACAAAAGGTTGTAGGCTAAAATTTCAAAATACAACAGAATTATAAAAATTTTAATGGACTGAAATGTTCTAAATAAATCCAGATAAATATAAAAAGATGACTAATATGATATGAAACCACGAAGAAGACATTTAAAATGTTTCTTGCTAAAATATCATATTTAATAAAATATTAATATATTTCCCAATTTCAAGTTCTGGTGCTATCTCTTGAATGATCAAAGTTTTACTCGGATATACCGTTAAAGGCCTTAACATAAAAACAAAGAAATAAATCTCTTACAGAATAAAAGTTTTACTTGTATATACTGTTAAAGGCCTTATCATAAATAAATAGAATTATTGCAATGTATGGTCAAAATCTAACTTTCTCCTGGAATTAATTTTAAGCTTTGTTGTTCTTATTCTTGTGTCCAGGCATACAGTCCTAGTGGTGGGTCAAAAGTTTACCGTGAAAAGGTCTCTGGCTTGAAGCCTTGATAATAAAAATAATTTATAATCCCAAGAGACGAAAATTCTTTTACAAGCAACCAAACTGACAGATTTTAAATGTATTTGAATATATTATGCAGACATCAAAATTACTCCAAAATCTGAATTTCACCCCAATGACCTGACAGTCGATTTTTCTATCCACTATTCATCCAAGGAAATGTTAATTTTAATAGAAAAGATTCAATGCATTTCAAATTTTACCTACTGAAAATGTGAAATTTGTCAATGTATCAGTCCAACAGTCCATATATTTAAAAAATAACTGTGAAAAATATAAGAAACAAAAGAGGTGCAATCAGATTTTATTCTTGACACTTATAGAATGTTTATCAAAATTCAATACTTCAACTGTTACTTGAAGACCAGTACCTCAATTCCAGTCCAGATACATACAGAATTTGACTTCGAAAAATAGTCTTTACACTCCAATTTATTAGCATTCTGAAAAGTTTGCCATTTTAAATACATGCACTTTGACATCTTAAAAGATAGCTCCTCCATGGATATATTTAATGAATCGTAGCCTGTTTTTCTTCATCCTTCTTTTAAAAACAAAATTTTGATTAGAGGATGCATAATTGGAAAGGTAAAATGGAGAGATTTGAACACGTCCAATAGTGTTAAAACATTTATCTCTGAAATTAATAATCACGCTGTATAATTAAAATTTCATATCTGCAATTTCTTTTCTACACATTCTTGATTATTAAAATATAGTGGATTTGGTTAATCTTCGGATTATGGTAACTTGGCGATTTTTTGGCGACTAACCCTGCTACAGCAACCCGCTAGTTTTTTTTTTGGATGCCATTTTGTTTTCACGAAGTAAAGGCATTTTTTTTTTTTAACTCAACATTTTTTTCCAACAATCTGCTAGCCGAATTACGCTTATACTAGAACTTTTATGGAACAAAGGTGCTTAATCATGACGAAGATTAGGTGCGAAATTGGGAGAAAGTGCAGAATCCCCCACTGCTTGCCGCATTTTTAAGAATTGCACATGGTATCATCCATGTACACGTCAACCTATTTTCACTTAAAAAAAAATCCCAGAATTGCACAAAAATGGCATTGCGCACACTCTTGACTTTATCAATGTACACTGCTAAAGTTCTAGCTAGTAACCTTTATCGCCTTACCAAAATGTCGCCAAACTACCTGTTACCATATTCCAAAGCTTAGCTGTGGATTCATATTAAACTCCCAACAGAAGTGTTATTTAAAAGTAAACACTTAAATAGCAATTTTCATTAATGACTTATAAAACATTCCTGTGAAGTATAAAAAGTTTTTATTTAGTTACATTAGGAAAGTTGCTTTTCAGAAAACATTAAAACAAAATGCAATATTTTAGTAACAAAGATCAATTTATTAAACAAATTCACAAATTAACAATTTTAATAAATTTACATAAAAACTGCTATGACATGGTTAATGTTTGTTAAAATACTTACTGTCATACTATAAGCACTTTCACAGTAATATAAAGCATATATAAAATATACTTCATATTACTAATATTTCTTAAAGCATGTTATTAACAATGAATTCATTTCAATGTTCTTGTTAATGCAACAATTTCATTTTTTTTTTTTTTTTTTTTCTTGTTTGTTTTATCCCAAGCTTTATAAATGTACACATTTTACTTCATTATTAATGCCGAGAGATGATTACTGTTAAGTTTTACACGATTTATAATGAATTACAAATTTTCTAATCACCTTAAAAAAATAACATATCAGATTTTCAATTATTCATTTTTAAAACTTCTGTTACACAGGATTACATTATGCACCTTTTGCATATCCTGCATTTCTTAAAGCATGTTATTTATTGATGTATTAAGTCTGATACTAAGGGCTACCAGTGCAGAAGTTTCAATTTCAAATAATATAATAATTTTACAGTTTCACACATTACACCACTGATTCTAATCACTACGCATATTTTTTAAAAGTACACTTCACAGAAAAAAAAGTTTTATTTCAAGTATGTTAACGGTTTCCTAGATAAATAATCAACACATAATGACTTCATATTTCCAAAATTAAGATCTGATGGCTAGTTGACATAGCAGACATGAATGATCTTAATGTTAAGTGCTCCATGAAGAGTAAAAATGCACAAAAACGTTAAGCCCGTTTTCACTCATCCTTCACGGCAAGATTTCAAACTGACTTTAGAAACGATTTATATATATATAATAAACATACTACATATTTTTTAAAAAAAGGGTGGAAAAATGTCCGAATCATATATTAAGATTTCTTTTTTTTTTTTTTTTTTCATAATAATCAAATCTAATATAAGAAAGATGCAACATTTTAACCAAGGCGTGAATTAAAGATGAGAAAGTATACTATTTGTAAGAAACATATATCTTGTCATTACATTAAAATTAGAAAACTTATTTCCCTTTAGAGGACAAAAACCCTTACGTCACAGATTTTGTAAGAAATTTTCTAACTAAAAGCACAAATAATGCAGTATACACAACTAGCTCTAGACGCGATTAAAACTTAAAACACATATTTAAGTAAATAAAATTATTTGGTGCACGTACTTGCTATTCCAATAACTGTGCCGCCGTGTAGGCTTAACGAATTTTCACTATCAGTTTTTAAAGAAATGCGAAGATAATGCAAGATAAACTTAACAGTGTTAAAGCATTCATTTTTAAGAAATACATAAAACAATTTATTATTAACAATTAATTCTAAAGCCGGTATTATAATGAGCAACTATGAACTTTAGATAGGCCACTTAAAGCTTATAAATGAGACTTCTTACCTTATTAATTCTTTTCAAAGCCATATCTTAATTTGTGATACGGAACAGATCCGGAAAAAGAATCCTAAATATAAGTTGAAGGTTACTTGAACTAAGATTATAAACGTAAAAGATCGCTACAGTAATTTTTACGCGTTAGGCGCAGCCGTAGAAATTTGCCCCAAAGAGCAACAGAGAAGAAACAAGTTGAGTAAAGACAGGAACTGCGAACTGATATCCGGCAATGTAGCCAAATTCAGAAACGAAGTTTCAACTTTGCAGTGAAGCGACAGTTCACTAAATTCATACATATATATTAAATTTTAGTTTAAAAAATGCACCTATAGTGTTTATTTGATTTAAAAAAACTCAGATTTTGAAAATATTGTTTTGAAGTATAGTACTGTAGATAAATATTTCAACAAACTTTTATAGTGTATTTGTCGTTAAACATTTAAGTATATAACAGATATTTAAAAAAAGATTCATTGCGTCTGAAATGAATCTAACTTGTCCCAGATGCATTTCTAAACGATAGATATATGTTTATCTTACTTCAAGGTACTTTGTTTTGCTTTACCTTTATTTTTTATATAGGGTATCCAATTTCTCTATTTACATTATTATTTATTTTTCACAATTCGTAACCGAACTTCACAGCTTTTTTTCTTCTGAGCGAAAAACAAGTTTCTTAGTCACTCATATTTTAACAGGTTTATGAAATTTTCGTGACATTGTCATAGCTTCCTTTCCGCTTGATAAAATCATTTAATACCTTCACTGGTGTCGTAACCATGGCTAAGTCGAAACGGGTTTTTGGCGATCTTGCTTTCGAAATAAAATCGAAATCTTGGCGAATTAACGTTATTGACATCTGGCAACCCTGGAAAGGTGTAGTGCAGTTAGTGATGCGGATATCCTTAATTTGCTTACGAAATTCCATGTACTTTTTCATCGCAAGAAATAGGAGGAGTGCATGTGTTTTGGGTTTAATTAATGTCTGGAAATCAACTTAATACTTACAAATGAAGATATGATAGTCTTCAAAATACTTTTCATGTACCACTTTGTTACATGGGGGACTGTTGAGTGTAGTAAGTTGATCATTTTGTGTACATAAATAATCATGTCTACTTTGTTCCATAAATTTCAGTTTTTAATATTGTTTTGTTTACCACTTTGATAAAATCCTGTAGTCAAATTGTAATATCATTATTAATGTGAGAGTCTTAATTTTAGTTGTACGGATGGTTGTGAGTTCCGTGGTGACTTTATTTAAAAATGTGGGTTTAAATAAAAAAAAAAAAAAAGATTTAAAAGTTCTTTATGTATTTTAGTTTATAAAGTTTAATTTTAGGTTATCGATGTGATTGTAAATTCACCTTTAATCGTAGTAACATTTTATTAGCTTAAATTTATATTGTGTTGTTAATTTTTTAAGGCTTTCTTTTGTTTTTTGTTTCATCTCACTTTCTCTTCTGTTCTTTCGTGCGTGAAATTTATTTCTTCTGTTTAATCACGCTTGAGGCTAATTCATTTATCGACGTCAAGATGGAATGTGAATTGTGAAAATCCCACAAAAATTATATTGAGCACTTGGAAATAATTAATTTAAAAATTCATATTTTGAGTACTTTAAAATTTTTTTTGTTTAGTTAATGTCAGCAGTAGTTTTCTTATCATTATAAGCTTATCATTCAGCTGATTTTAAAGTTATAAAATAAGTTTTTAAACTAGGTGCTACATATTGATTATGAACTGTAGCAAAATATATAAATTTTAGAGTATTAACATATATAATGTTTTATTAAATACCTTTGTTGCACTTTTTGGCATAATGAATTCACTGATAAAGCAGATTTTCATACTTTAAAGCTGTAAACCTAATTAAAAATATTAAAGTTAATTCTTGCTTTGATTGTATTGGAATAATGACTATGTTTTGTATGTTATTGTGCTTTTCAGTGATTAATTCAAAGTTTTGCTTATAAACCATGTAAAACAAATAAATAGTGGAATTAACAATTGTTTACAAGAACTTGACAATAGTTAATAATTTTATTTACATTAATATTACTTGCTATTTATATTAATACAATATTTATTGTATATAATAATATTGTATTAATGCAAATAAAAAGTAATGTAATTAGAATTACAATATTTATCACTGCAGAAATTATTACAACATTATGACTGCACAGGGTAGAGTAGACTTTTAAGGTACCCCTTGTATTATGGCGAAGTTGTTTGATTTATCGCCGAGTTGTTGTTTCATTTATGGTAGCCTGAGTAGTTGAATGTTATGGAAACCCTATTGTGACGTAATCGGGTGCACGATTCTGGGAAATTTTGAATCGTAGGATGTTTTGTAAGCATTTTTGTGGTGTATGTTGATTTGATTCTTTAGACTTTAGAATGGCCGAATGTAGTAAGATTAATTTGATTTTCTGTACGATTTGGAGCGAAAGGGAAAAAGAGCTTTAATTGACTGGTGTGTTAATGAAGGTTTGCTTAGTAGCCATTATAAGTGTCCTGTATGTAGGAAGGATATGCGTCTAGTCGAACGTAAAAACCGTTTAGATGGATTTGAATGGGTTTGTAAGAAGAAAGGTTCAGATGGTCACTATGTGAAGTGTTAGATTAGAAAGAGTACCTGGTTGAAAAGAGTCATTTGAGTATGATTGATATTTTGATTTTTATGTTTCTCTGAGTGTACGAAGTGAACTCGAAAATCATGGTGAATGAGTATTTGCTTTTAATAGTGCTTAAATGTATAACATGTTTTTTCTTTTTTATGTCATTTTATTGTTTGGTTTAAAATGTATTTTATTGAGATTATGTATTTTTTGTTTGCCTATATTGTAGAATATGGTGTTCCTTTGACTTTTTAAGTGAAAATATACCGATGTGTACATGGTCAAAGTAAAGGGAGTGCGCAATGCAAGTTTGTGCAATTCTGGGATTTTTTTTTGGTTGATCTGTGGAATATGGTAACTTGGCGATTTTTTGGCGAAAATTTGGTGACCAACTGTGCTACAGCAACCCTCTATTTTTTTTTTTCCCGCCGCCATTTTGTCTTCACGAAGTAAAGACATGTTTCTTTTCTTTTTATTTACTCAACACTTTTTCCAACAATCTACTAGCCGAATTGCACTTATGCTAGAAATTTTATGTAACAAAACTGCTTAATCATGACAAATATTAACTGCAAAATTGGGAAAAAGTGCACAATCACAAACTCCTTGCGCGTTTTTCAGAATAGTACATACACATAAACCATTTACACATCGACTTATTATTACTTAAAAAAAAAAAAAAAAAATCCCAGAACAAAAATGGCATTGCACACACTCTTAACTTTATCCATCTACACTGCTATTTTCTCATAAATTACAAAATAACTATCGTTTAATTAAAATATCACTAAACCATGTACACGTTGACTTATTTTTACTTAAAAAAAACATCCCAGAATTGCACAAAAATGGCATTGCGCACACTCTTCACTATATCCATGTACATTGCTTTTTTCTCATAAATAAGAAAAATTTCACGAAAATGCATGACAATTTTCTGAATCTTTAAACCCAGTAAAAAGAACATATATGAAATTACCTTATCGCGAAAAAGTATATACCTTTTCCAAATATGAACATTTCCACGTATAAAATATCCAAAAACTTTTACCTCTAAATTATCTATTATATTATAAACGTCACCAACGAATTTATACCGCAAACATTAAAAATGGTTACGAATACTTAGTGTGTCAAATATTTAAATTATTTCCATGCACGTTTACTTCAACTAAAACGTATACCAAATTCCTACAAACATAAAATTCACAAAATAACTATCATTTAATTAAAATATCACTAAACCGTGTACACGTCGACTTATTTTTACTTAAAAAAACATCCCAGAATTGCACAAAAATGGCATTGCGCACTCTCTTCAGTATATCCATGTACACTGCTTTTTTCTCATAAATTAGAAAAATTTCACGAAAATGCATGAAAATACTCAACGTATACTACTCAAACATATTCCAAAATACTACAAACATATAACTCACAAAATCACGATCATTAAATTAAAATATAATTAAATTAAAAAACACTACTTAAAATATAAATAAGCACATACATTAATTAATAAAAATTAGATTACAATCCTAATTACTTTAAAACTAAATCATTGCTAATAACAATTTTCAAATAATACCATTTTAATTTATTTACTCCTTACATTTAGAACAGTGCATAAAAATAATATCCTCAAATGATTAAAAATACTAACTTGCCTAATCTTCTTCAGAATCTTCATTATACGTCGCTGCAGTACTATTGCTAATTTCTAAATCCTAAATCCAGTAGTCAACTGGAAGTCTATTCACCAAGTAATAAGAAATTAATAAAATTTCACCTATACTCAGACTACTTTCAGCAAACCATGTACCCTTCCTTACACTCTTTTTCACAAAATGTCCATTTTCACCATATTTCTTGCACGGCCATTTAAACTTCTAATATCCTTCCTTTCACACAATCTCAACTTATTATTATTATTATTATTATCAGATAAACACATTAAAAATTTAGAATTCACTTTACATAGCGCCATGCAATCCGAAAATTAATCAACACTATTTCACTCAACACACAATGAAGCTTTTCCAAATTAACCCCTTTTCTGATTAAAGAACTGTAATTCGTCCATTAATGTCACGTTTCACACAACACAGAATATAGCTAAATACGAAATTTCCAGATTTCCCCTCTTTTTCGATTAAACAACTGTAATTCGTCTATTAATGTCACGACATATCTCATGATCTCTCATTTCTCTCACACAAAATAATGCGTAATCGGAACTGAGTGCTTCTCACATTATTACCAAAGTCCTAGGTAGTAACCTTTATCGCCTCCAAAATGTCGCCAAACTACCAGTTACCATATTCCAAAGATCAGCCTTTTTTTTTTTTAAGTGAAAATAAGTCGATGTGTACATGGATACCGAATTTGTGCAATTGTATGTCTTGTTATTTTGGCTTTGTGTAGCGGCGATTTTTGGGCCCGCCTCGCAAGCCAAAATACCGAGTCAAAGAATTGCACAAAATCGGTATCCATGTACCGCCAAAAATCGCCAAGTTTTGCCAAGGGGTACCCTAAACTATACTTTTACCCACTGCACAAATTATTACAACATTATCTCTG